TCTGCTGCGTGGGTTCCTCATGGCACGTGGCCGACGGGGTCATAAGGTCCTCGTACCGCGCCTTCTCCCGTGAGAAGATCGACGCCACCCTGGGCGTGGCGATCGGCCTCGACCACGCCAACGTCACCATGCGCGTCATCCCCATGCACAACCGGAGCCTCGACATCAACTTCAACGAGCGCTTCCACTGGCAGAAGCCCACTGACATGAGGGACCACTACCGAGCCGCACTAGTCAAGGGTCTGCCCTACCCCATCCTCACAGTGGCCGAGTACCTTTCGCTGGACAACGAGGGCTTCGCGTGGGGACGCTACTACCGCAGCGCCGGCTACTACACCAGTATTGTGTTGTGGTGAGTTCCTTTGTATATTCCGCTCGTTCATACAGTCTGCAAAAGTGTCTTAGATACATCTATATGTACTTTTGATCATGGAACTGCGAACAAAGAAAGAATTCTTGGGGGTCTCCACTTTGTTTATATATTTCCCTTAAAAAATACAAGCGAGGAGGGCCACAGCAGTTCAGCATTATGAAATATCCATAATAAAGATGATGACTGGCTAACCACGTCTCCCCTTGCGTTTCAGGTCTGCCTTTGCGTCGTGGCTGTTGATGAACGTGTTGATGGTGAACGTGCCTCGCTACGGCGCTTACACCATGACCATCACAGGCGCTCTCATGGGGCTCTCCAACCTCGTGTTCTACATGCTCATGCCTCCGAAGCCGCTGCACATACGATTCGAAGACGCAATCATCACATTCAGACTCGGCTGGTGTTTCTGGCTTGTTCTAGTCGTTGGTAAGTCGCGGTTATACATGCAGTGCATTTGTGCATTTACATAAATATATAGATATGTAAGAAGATATGCAGATAGATAAAGGCTGTACGGTTTTCCATGATTGTTGAACAGTAGCAGTAATGGCAATTCTAAAAATTATGATGATAAGTAATGAAAGAAATATGACTATAAAAACTTGAGGATATCATGTCTTTTTCCAATTTCTGAGTGATCCTTGTCCCGCAGGCATCATCATAACCGTGTCAGGCATGATCATCTCCATCATGGACTGGATTTACCCGCACAAGTTCTCCACCATCATGGAGGTGGACTTCGACACGCCCTACGACCGCCACATCATCATCGAGGATTCACACGACACGAGGAAGCGCCGTTTCAAGATCCCGCGTCTGGAGGAGCCCCTCAACGCCGGCCTCAACGCCGGTTCGCGTCTCCTGAGGCGGCTGTCGAAGCGCGGCAAGGATCCCGCAGAGGAGGAGGAGCCAAGAATCACGCCCGGCATCGACAACTACGCCTTCGAGATGGAGCCGCCCAAAACGCCCAAGCGCTACCAGAGCTTCATGATGCGCACCGACTCCAAGAAGTCCACCAAATCCGTCAACTTCCACAACGCGTCGACGCGCTCGCAGCACTTCCTCGACATCCCGCAGCTGCCGGACTTCGAGGACAAGACCAAGACCTTCCAGCGGTCCGACTCGAAGCAGAGTAGCGTCTCGTCCATCTCCGTGGCGTCGTCGCCCAAGAGCGTGAACTTCGAAGACGCGCCGGGCCCGAGCGTACACCCGGCGGGGGCGGCCGCGCCTGCTCCGCCAGTGGGTCCTGCGGGAGCCTCTATGCTAAGACAGGACTCCAGTCAGTCGGTGTCCTCGTCGTCGTCTTCGTACGGGCTGGGAATGCTCTCGCGAGACCCGAGTATAAGAAGGATCTCGGCGGAAGAGAACCTACATGCTCCCGTAACTAGAAATAATTCAGGAAATATAATTGTATTCCATCGAACGGATTCTAGAGGACAATTACAAAGGTAAGGGTCATCTGTTGTTATAAGTACCATTTTAGTAATGGTAGGAATCGTAGTAGGAGTAGTAGGAGTAGCAGTAGTAGTAATTGTTGTTGTTGTTGTTGTTGGTGAATCCTGTTACGAGATCACATAAAGTACTCAAAAACAATAATAGCTGATGCTACTACCACTACTACTATGAGTGATGATGATGATAATGATACTGATAATAGAATAATACTAATAATGATATTGAGAATGATACTGATAATGGTATATTATAACAATAGGAATGATAATAATGGTAATGAGAATAATAATAATACAAATAATAATGATAATAATAATAATAATAATTGTAATAGTAAAAATAATGATAAGAAACACAAGACATGACTTTCTCTTATATTTCAAAAATCTATTGTTCAGCATTTAGACTGAATTGTTCCATTATTCTTACTTCTTTGTTCTGCTTTACACTTGATTATTTTTTTGTTTTCTTTTGTTTCCTACTGTTCATGTTTTCCTTCCTTCTTTCCAGGTTAAATGGAGAGGTCGTGGAAATTCAAACGGACGATTCCACGGATATTTGGTGATAAGGGACGACCTCGCGTGCAATGATCGACGTTAAATTATATATTTAATAGACAATTAATGAATTTGAACCGTGACACATCGCATCAAATGTTTAGCAGGCGCCAGA